TAACACGAACTCTGAGAACCAACAGATTGCACAAGTTTCTTGCTTCAAACTTGACCATTAGTTGTTGGGATGAAGTTTGTCTGTTAGCAAAATATCTCATGAACCACTGGGTGGATTTCAATGAAACTTTCAGGAAATAATCGTTGGGAAGTCTTCTACAGCTGATTCAGTTTTGGTCTTTATGTCGAGTTGGTTGCTGCTTATTTGTGTGATAAGACAACACCTACAAATAAGAAAAACATGGTTTTAATAAAGCAGAGTTTATACTTTACGACCTAATTAGTTTTTGTTTTTTGTTTAATTGAAGCTTTATGACATTGTGTAAGTTGTTGCTTCATGTGTGGTTTGTTGTGTCATGTTTGGAAAAAAAAAAAAAGAAAAGAAAAAAAAAGAAGAAGTTTTATTTGCAAACTAGTCTCCAGCACTGACTCTATTCAAACTTCACTAATAAAAAAGGAGGAAACTTGTAACTTAATTCAGATATTCCAGATTTAATGTTTTTTCCATTTTTATCTGAACAATTCATGCATTCATACATTTTTCATTCATGCTGTTAATCCATGTTTGTTTGTTTTTGTTTACTTGCCATGGAAACTAGAGGCTAAATCTGGCGCCAGAGATTAACTTCTTCTGAACACCACCCCGTTCTTTGTTACAGTGATTCTGGACAATAAGTTATTTGTTATGACTGAATTTGCCGTTTTCTCCCTCATTAAATTTTTACACTCATTACTTCCTGATATGAGTCTGCGTGGAGGCCTTTGACTGGATTAAACCTCCAAACTGTTACGATTCTTCACAGATGAATGACGGGGGGAGGCGTACCAACAGGTTCAATTCAAAGTTGCAAAACATGTTTTAACTCAAACACATCAGAGGCGAAAAGAGCTTTCGAAGAAGGGAGAAGTTTTGAGATAAAACAGCTAGTAGTGTTTTTAACAGTTAAACTTCAAACTAAGAGCATTAAAATGAAATAAAATAACATTTAACAATATTTAAAGAACAAATCCAAAAACTGACTGTGCATAAAATATGGTTGAAAAAGTAATCAGTGTGCATTGCCAATGCAATGCACACTATTGTGATTCGTTTCCCATCCAAGTCATCTCCACTTTGGCACACTTCTCCTCCTGCATACTTTGTCCTAGAGCTGCCATTGTAATTTTTATCTGTAAAGCCCCTGTGCCAAATGATTGCTATGCCTTTTGGTGCCTGTACAACTTATAGTTTTTGAAATATTAATGTTTAAATCAAATAATGAGAGTCAATGGAGCCTTGTATTGGTCCAATACTTCCCCATGCTGTATCTTACTGCACCATAGTTTAATAATATTTAAACTTGTATTTTGATGTTTTACTGTAATACTGTCTTTATGTTGTCCTATTGCTGTAATATATTTCACTTAAGTGTCAATAATTGCATTGGCAAGGTAAACCTTTTCTGTATACATACAGTCCAATCCCTGGGATTGTCCTCTGCCACATCTCCTATAGTCTCATGATGAGCACTGTGGGCTTTCATGCGGGAGATCAGGGTTCAAATCCAGCTACTGCAACTTTAAAAAAAAATCTCTTCAAACTTCATATTGTCAAACAATTACCTTAATTACAAACACCTGCTGACGTGACAGTCACAAGCTGGTTTAGAAAACACATTTGAACTTGGTCAAAGTTCATTCTGAAAGTCCAATGCTCCTGCCTACATTGTCCTACAGCTGCCTTAGTCATTTCTATCTGTAAAGGTCCTGTGCCAAATGATTGCTATGCCTTTTGGTACCTGTACAACTTGTAGTTTTTGAAATACAAATGTTTCAACTTTATTCCAAATTCATATAATGAGTCAATGGGGCCTTGTAATGGTCCGATACTGCCCCCAGCTGTACTCAACTTGGTACTGCACCATAGTTTTTTATATTTAATCTCAATAGTTCAGTGTTTACAATACTAACATGATTGTATTTTGATGTTTTACTATAATATTGTCTTAATACTGCTGTATTGTTGTAATATTATGCATTTTGTGTCAATAATTG